CACTCTGGGCTGCATCATCCCTCACCTGGGAGGCTGCAGCTGGAATACTGTGGAGTCCTGGAGCCAGTGCAAGAGGCGCCCAAGGGAGCTGTGCAGATGGCCAGGGAGTGGAAGCACATGATGTATAAGAGTCTGGAGAGGTTGTGTTTGTTTAACCTGCAAGAAAAGAAAGCTTAAGGAGAGCTTCTAACGTGCACCTGATACATCTAGGAGGGCTAGAGATAAATCATAAAATCATTAAGGTTGAAAAAGACTTCCAAGATCAAGTCCAACCTTTGACCAAATGCCAACTAAAGCATATCACAAAGTGCCACATCTACTCATTTTTTGAATAATTTTGGACCCACTTCCTTGGGTAGCCTGTTCCAAGGTTTAACCACTCTTTTAGTGGAGAGATTTTTCCTGATATCAAACCTGAACCCTCCCTCGGTTGAGGCCATTTCCTGCTGTCCAATCCCCACGAGCTTCAAGGTGAACTGCAGGAGAGTAAAAGGCAATGGTCATGGGTTGCAGAGAGGCAAAGTGCAACTGGATAGAAGGGTTGGGGAGAATTACCACTGTTAGAATGGTTAACCATGGGAACAGATTTCTCAGGGAGGCTGCTCAATCCCCTTCCTCAGAGGTATTAAAATTTCACCTGGACAAGACCCTGAGCATCTTTATCTAACTTCCAACCAAGCTGACCCCGGTGTGGTTAGGAGGTAGGACATACAAAGGTGACCTCTGGCTTGCATTCTTCAGATTCCATCTTATCCTATCTTCAGCTGACACACTGGAAGGGCTCACGTTGCTTGCAGGCCCCATGTCAGACTTTCTGGTCTGATATAGAAGCCCTATATCTCTAGGACATCTGGAATAAGCTGAAGGCTGAGCAGAGAACACAAAAGAATGTATAATGGTACTAGACAGTGGTGTTGTGAACTGAATCATCTTTTCAGCTGATCCTCTCACACTGTCCTCTGCCCAGATCCAGTAGGTATGCTTAGAATACTGCTGAAACACAGTTCAGGAGTTGACCTTATGAAAGTACACTCATGGCTTTCTTTTTTTAAAAAAAGGAAGAAAAGGGGAAGAAGAATATCCATTATACAGACGATAAAGTGGTTGAAGTACTCACTTAGGAATGAGAGACTCAGATCAGCAAACCTCTCTGCATGCAGGGTTTCAAATTATCATGCCTCATCTCCTTTAGTATTTTCCTTTTCACCTTATCTGTGTGAGAGCTGTGTTTCAGCTTTTCCCATTGAAGTTCTTTATTATGCAACAAAATTTGGATTCATTAAGCCTGTGAGAAAAGGTGACCAATTTTTTTAAGGTCTCTAGACTTGTATTCAATCACAGATAACAACAAAGTATAAACAATGGTGACAGTAAGGCACTCTTACTTTGATTTGAGAGGACAAAATTGTTTCACCCATTGCATAAAAGGAGAACTGAGAGAAAAAGAGGAAACAGGAGCAGTAGGTGTTTTATTAATGTATTAGAGTTGTTCAAAGCTATGAGAGATGTATGATATGAACATAAAATGTGTATTTGCAATGGGCTGTATATTATTTGTAATAATGCCTTTGTTCCAATGAAATACCATACCATTCCATATGAAAATATAACTAATTTTATGCTTCTGGAAGTAAGGACTTCATATTTATTGGTTTTTTATTCTATCACTCATGGAATGAGAACTGAATCTGTAGGAGTATTACATTTTTAAAACACCTTTAATGAGATCTTATTTTAAGTAAGGTGCTTTAGTTTAATAAAAATTAAGTAAAAAAGGAAATTGCATAGGAATACCAAAAAGCACTCAGGATTTTGGTTTATACCCAATACTTCAATGATTCTAGGTAGCAGGAGAAGAGCAAAGCATGCAGAGTAGCCATAGGTTAATTGGAAATGGCAGATAAGAAAAGAGACTAAGAAAATAAAAGATACGAAATTAATGATAGAAGTAAATCCAATGTTGGAAAGCCTTTTCTTCTGAAAGATCTAAAGACACTAAAAACGCTTAGTATTTGGCAGAACTAACTATTTGAAGAGTCTACCTGCTGGTAACGTGTAGGCAGACTCTTCAAATTTCAGACTCTTCAAATTTCATTGGCATTAAGCATTTGTGGTTCTTTATTTTATGGCAGGCCCTGTTTTTGACAGAAGATCCTTTGCTGTCTGGTACATCTATATTTGTATTGGCCTGGAATTCAAAGTTTATTAAAATGCTTTTCAACTGAAATGTAGTCACTAAACAAAAGAGCTTCCTTCCTTGGAAAGTCTCCAGTGAAGTAAAGAGCGAGGAGGACAAATGGAAAAGAGAACTGTTTAGCAGTATGTCAGTTTCTTTTTGGAAAATAGAAGTTCATAATTTAAAGCAGCATCCTCAGTGTCAAGAAGTATGTGATGTGAAGATCACTTACAAGGTCTGCTTCAGGGCTGCACATTAAAGGAGGAAACACACAGAAACAATTGGCAATAATCTGCCTGATTAGTAAGAATAACCCATTGACCTGGAAATTTGTGTGATACATCTGACAGCAAGCAGAAAACAAATACTTTTTATAACCTGCATTCAGTCAGGTTACATTTTTAATAATAGGATTTTATCAGCAAATGTGATTATATAGTATTAGTTGACTTACATGCAGTTAATATACTAGGGTGGTAAACAAAACACATTTAGGCATTAGGAGATTATACTTTCAGAGGCTGAGTTTGGCTGCTGTTTGTGAGTTGAAAATTAATCTCACTGGAATTACAATACAATTAGTGTCATTGCAATATAGCTAGTTTATGTGTATTGTGGAATACCATTTAGAGATATTAATGGCTACTTTTCATTACATGAAATTATTCCCATTTATGCAAAGGCCTATTATTTATTTTTGAAACCCTGAGATGTCTCATCTCTAGCATGAATAAAACATATGCTTGAATTTTGTTTACCCTAGCATTCCCTCTTAAGATTTAAAATACATCAGTTATTATCCATACCATTCTCTGATAATGAAGATTATCTTTTGTCAATCCTCATCTCACATTAGTGGGGCACTTGTGTTAAGAAAACTGTGGACCTAAAGATTCTTGTTAAGGATGTATTCAAGATTCTTGTTAAGGATGTATTCAAGTGTGCAACGTCCAGGATCAAACAGTCTGAATGCAAATCCAGCATGGGCAAGGCCATGAGTTGGAGTTTCAGAGAACTTTGGAACATATAAAATGTTCACTGAGTGCTCTCACAGTGCCTGCAGAGTTTTTCCTTAATTAAGCTAGCTTTAAAAATCATGGAGCTGGATGAATGGGAAGGATGAGGGACCAGCCTCTGCAGCACTGGTAAAGTTGATGACATCCATTTTACTCAGGCCTTTGATTTGTTTGACTACACAAGGATCTAGCTACACTCCATAAATGGCCAGTTTCATTATTGTTGCTGGGCACAAACAGGGACAGTCAATCACTGGACCATAAAATGGCTTGGGTTGGAAGGAACCTTAAATAAAACCTTAATCAAGATTCTCTGGGAAACCATTGACAGGGATCCATCCCTGCCTCACTTTTCCGGAACTGTTTCTTTTGCTGCAAAAAAAATTTTTAAAATATTGTTTTAAGGCCTTTTCACTTGACAAAGATATTTTCTGATCTCACTCTTTGCAACACACTTCTCAGAAATAAAGTCGTGGGCTTCAGAGTAGCTCTAGACAAGAGCCAAATTGGGGTCTATGAGGTTGTGCTTGGGCGCACATGTGCAGCAGAGCATAACATAAGGCAGAGCTCAGCCCTCAATCCTGACCATTTTCAGGTAGAGTCAGTATTGGATTTTATGCCTTAAAATGAGACCTTATGGCTTCTCAAACTCTTCCTGTGTTTAGTGGGCAGTTAAAATCAATGCTTTGCATCTGCTGAGTGAAAGTAATAAGCAATTTGTACAGAGTCTCATGCTGTGCTTCTGTCATACCAGCTACCAACCAGATGTTGTTGAATACCTGCATGTATTTCATAGCAGTATCAATCATCTGTCATCTAATGCCGCTTTAACTTAAGATCTAAAAAAAAGTCCTATTTCTTTTCAGAATTACTTCCTGGAATATATTTAACATTTATGGGAGCAGACATGGGAAAACAGGTTCTTAATGGGAAGGAAGCTGTTCAGTGACTCTTGGTCCTGTGGATAGTCTGTGAAATACATTTATTAAAAATTGCTGAAAAGGTGTCTTAACTGCTTTGACCATTCTCTGTAATTTTAATTTGGAATATAGATTTATGATGACAACTATATGTAATAGATATTCAGGCTCGATGTGGTGTGAATTTTAATTGATCAGCTTGTTAGGGAATATTAAGGGTTTTATTTTGATCTACTTACCAAGCCAATACTGTAGAACAGGATGTTTTAGTGAATTTAGCGTCTGGAAGTGTGCACGGACTCTTCTGCTTATATTATTTTCTTTTTTGGAGTACCAGAATCAATTGCAAATATTCTCATAGCTTCTTGAAACCCTTACATGATCAGTAACATTTGTTAGATATGGGGAGCCAAACTGGCATCTGTTATGAAGAGCCAGGGTCCTGCTCCCACATGGGATGTTTGTAATTTTAAAGCATTTGAGCTCCCTAATGAAAAGGGATGATGCTGCAAAGACTTTGATAATTAGTTTCTGTTTCAGAAAAAGAAAAAGAAAAGATATATTCATGCTGATCAAAGCAGTTTCAACACCAAGAACATGAATGTTTGTCTGGATCAATTTGTTTGGGATTTCCTAGATTCTCTGGAAACCCAACTACAAAGGAAAACTCCAGGCATGGTTTTGAACAGCAAATTAGATCACGTAAATAGACTTTCCCAATTTCAGAACTTACAAGGCCCCTATTAGAATATCTGAGTGCTTCATGACCTTCAATGTACTTAAATGAGTCACTACATTATTAACACACCAATTAAAATTATTAATAATTTGTATAGAAAATTGAAGAAAGATGATGAAATTATTCCATTATTCTACTGTGTTTTGCAGGTCCTAAAATGGTAGAATTCCACAGTCAGCAATTTCAGATCAACTCAAAGGATGGAAAGCCACTTTTTACAGTGGATGAAAATGAAGTTGTAATTGGCACAGATAAGCTTCGAGTCACAGGTTTGTAATGGTTTAAGAAATACTCAGATAATACCCATATGAAGAGCACAATAAGAACGGCATTTTAAAATATGTTATGTGTGAATGCCAGTTCTGGTTTTACCTCATTAGGAAACAGAAATATGAAGATAATCTGACCTTTTTCAATAAATAATAATTAAGAATTTTTAACACAAAATAATAAATATATAAATATATATATAAATATGTAAATATTTCTGTATGTATGTATTTTAAAGCCATTAATAACTGGAACTGCAGTGGTGCATCTTTTTATGAATTATTTAATGTTTCCAGTGGATGATGTCTGAGAAAAATTCTAGATATTCCATTCTGAGTAGTAACAAGTCTGATCTGTGAAAACTTTAGGGAGAGAAATATCTCTGATATTTTTATATGGTTTTATCTTTCAAAGTGAAAGCTACCGTATTTCTGTTCTGTGAGTAGCACATATGTCACAGGAAGATATTTGTAGTATATCTTAAATGTCACCTGTCAAGAGAAAAGTTTGTCTTAGGCTGTTTCTTCAAATCACTGAAGTACTCATTTACAAAGTAATATGTCAAAGTTATCACATGAAAAGCTGCTTCCTTTCATAGAACCTGATAAAGTCAACCTTCATTTTCTAGGTGTAAAGTTGCACTAAAATAGATACATCAAGGTGTGATTTCTGTTTGAGCAGAAAAATTCGTCAAAAGAAATACTGAAATTATTCTGTAATTTCTTTTCAATTAATTTTTTAGTATTTTTTTACCTAATTGCAACTATCATGTTTGGCTAATTGCCAGTCCTCTGAAATGTTGAGGTCTTCATTTTAATGAATAGATTCATATTATTTCACTGTCAAAACTATAAATATGGTAGTTACTATACAATTAGTGTTTCAAAGCCAAAGTTAAGTTATAATAATTGCGTTAATACATTTTGTTTACGCCTGAGGGTCTTATCTTAAGGTTTTTTACTTCTTAACCTAATTGAAATTACAACTTTGTTTAACCAGGAAACCATATCAAATAATTATTGTTTGCCCAAGGGATGTTAAACTTTAATAGAAAAGCGTGTTTAACAAAGATATGAAAAACTGCATAATTGTTAACTGATTTGGAAAAGGTCTGTCTCTGCTCAAAGTAAGTAAAAATCATTCATACACGAGTTGAAATTGTTATGCTAATATTAATGACTCACTCATCCAATATTAATCTTTATAGTGTATTGATAATTATTTACTTCAGCAGATATAGTACTGAGACACATTGCCTCTTTCTTTTTTTACACTGTAGTAAAATTCAAAAGCAAATACATTAAAGTCAGTGAGATTATTTCAGTGTAAAATTAATGCGAGAGGAGATTCATGCCTACTTTGCTTCAAATTAATTTATTAAAATTGTGATTTAAATGATACTATTAGCATGAAGGATAAATTATTGCGATTTAAATGATACTATTAGCATGAAGGATAAATTAGTAATAGTTTGCATACCGAGATTATTTTTAAACATTTTAGATAGAGAACAAGATCAATGTGAAATAAATTTTGAAAAGTTCATACCATAAAAAACAGATTATCATGGGCTTAAAATACACAAAGAACATTTTGCAGTTTTTTATGCACAGTGTAGTGAACTATTTGATTTTACTTCCCCTTATTTATGTGAATTATGAAAAGCTCAGTAACGATTTTTAAGAAAACCTGACAGTTTTCAACTAAGATATAATATAGCAGAGAGCAAATGTGTACAATTTATGATATTTCAAGACAAAGGAAAAGGTCTAAGAGTAATATAATGCAATCCAACACCTCAAGAATTGTCATTTTCCTACAATTAATATGTTTCAACTGTTTCAGTCAGTCATTCTCTGGCCCCTGTGTAGAGTAGAATAGTGCAAATCAAAGCAGAGCAAATGCCTGGGAAAAGCCTCCACCAGGAGCGTGCCTCCAATACCCTGCAGGGTCCCTGGCAGGTCTGGGTGGCCACATTCCCCTGGAGCACAGAGAGGTGCTGGCACCTGCCCCAGGCAGAGCTCTCGTGCCCACCAAATGCTGTTCTCTGCCTTAGGGAGTGCTCCAGGGCTTGTCACCTCCCTTGGATACAGTGGATAGAGGCTGAGCTCACATGCTCAAACATCAACATCCAGCAGCGTGTGAAACACCCTGGCATGTGTGAGACAGCACATGGAATCGCTTTGCCTCCAGGAGACGCTTCCTGTGATGCTGGCAGCTGGAGGCCAGGCAGGATGCACAAGGGTGTTCCAGAGGACAGTAAGTACATACAGTTAGGCAAAGAAACACTGCCTCTGGCTCACCTGTGGTACCTGTATCACATATGCAGTTCAGTATATAAGAAACTGAAGCTCGGCTTAACCCTTCATGACAAATTCTGCTCCTGAAGGAGCATGGACTCCAGCTGCATCCTCTTTAATATTATTTCAGTAAGGGCCTACGTTTTGCAGGCATTTTTTATGTTGCTGTGGCAGTACTGAACATCCATTTTTTCTTCTGGGAGGGTTTTGTGCATTCAGCTGGCATTGGTGACAGTGAAACCACCTTGTAACTGTATTGGCTGGCAAAGTGCTGATTGCTTTGTAATGTTGTCATGGCAGGCTCATAGAAACACAGAATTCTGAAAGTTCGAGAAATCTCTAAGATAACATCCAACCATTAACTTAGCACTGCTATGTTCACCACTAAACTACGTCCCCAAGTGCCACATCTACACTTTTTTTTTCCTTAAAGGAAAGTTGGCAGGGCAAAGGGGTTCAGTATTTTTATGGAGAAGCATATTTATATCACCCTTTCTCCAGTTTACTACTTCCATTCTGCTTGTTTATCTTCTTTAAAAATCCCCTAAAATATTTGCAGAGTATTGTCTGTGACTTCCTAGTGCTGTGTTCTGTGCAAAGGTTTTCAGTTTGCATAGCTAATGCTGAAGTGCAGTGTGACAGTGTGTGTTTAATTTAAACACTTCTGCTCAGAAGGTAAGTTAAGTAGGAGACAATTTGGGGGTATTAGTAAACATTCTGTTAGACTTTGAGGAGGCAAATGGTCCTTGCCTGATAAGGTGCATGGGGTGTTAATGAATGTTGCTGACTTCAGTCCTCTCATTGAGAAAATTAGTATCTTGTTCTTGTGTATTTTAGGAATAAATAACAGCATCTTAATAAACGGTAGCCTATAAAATAATAAATATAGCAATAGTCATATCACAATTAAAAAGATAAAGTAAGAAATAAAGACAGGAAATCAATTTAGAGCCATTTTCCAAAAAAAGTTGCCCTGAGATTTTTTTTTCTATTAGTGGCATACTGTTAAAAACTTATTGCTGTTTGATGAGGAAGTTTTACTCACATTAAAGGCAAGGTTTTTGCTTGATTAGAGGTGACAACTTTAGAATATGGAAATAAGCCTTTTCATTCCATATTATACCATCTGCCCACTGCCCAGAACATTAACAGTGATGTTTCCTGTTCTCTTCCTTCCATTAGCCCCTATTTCCATGAAACTGATGCTATCTCTGTAACCACTTAGTTGTCTTTACAGAATCATGGGATCATAGAATCACTTAAGTTGGAAAAGAGTTCTTAAGATCACCAAGCTGAGCCCTTAACCCAGCACTGCAAAGTCTACCATTAAATCATGTACCCAAGTGCCACATCTGCCCTTTTGTCATATCAGGATATTCCTGCAAAATATCTTAGTTGTGCCAAATCAGCATTTTCTGATAAACATTTTAAATTCCTTAAGGTGCAGAATTATCTTAATGTAAATGAAGCAGGGTTAAAGCTCTGTCTGAATTAATAAAGTTTAAGTTTTCCAGTATTATATTCATGCCACTTTGTAATTTACAGAAAGATTAATCTATTTAAATTTATGAGGAGGATATCAACAGCTAAATAAAATTTAAATTCAAGCTTAGTAAATCAATGAATCCTCACAGTGCTAAAGTGATTTAATATGGTAATTCTTCTATCTTGTATACTTCTCTTCCATCCAAGCCAAGAATATTTAATTCTAAGGAATCACGATTTCAGCTAAAACTCTTCTCAAAAAGCAGCACATTTCATGCCCTCTCAGGACATCCTGAGACTTTTCCTGCAGTCCTCATGAAGCAACAGTCTTCCTATCTGTTGTCTCAGCAATTTATTAATTTTTAATGTTTTTTCTTGATTTCACTTCTTTTCCATTTACTGTGTTCCCTGAGGTTGCCCTAACCAATTTTAAATTCTCTTTTTCCCTTTATACCATATTTAATACAACCCAATACCACATTTATACAGTCTACACCACACTTTTTAACCATCCATTGCCATCCTCTGTCTAGACAGAGCCCAAATCCCTAATGTAGGGATTTTCACAGCCCAGAATTCTTTCCAGAGTGTAACAGCATAAAGAGCAGCCAGACAAGCCGCCTTGACTAATATCCTAACTATTAAAATATATTGCCTTGCTACATATTCACCTGGGAAGTGCTCAGGTTTGTGAATCCTCAAAGCCAGAGAAGATCTCTCAACCTAAGACCTCTCCAATTTTTGATGAGTATGTTCACAAAGCCAAGGAACAGAGGCTGAGAGGCTCCCCCCTGCTGTAGAGGGTGATGTTCAGCTGCTTTTTTGAGGTGTCTCTCTTGCTTAGGGGCTTTTGTCCTGCATCAGCCAATCTCCTGATCCTAGTGGAGCTTAGGTGGAAGGTGATCACCAGGCTGGTGATACTGAAATAATGCTAATACTCAGGAGAGTGGAAATTGAGGTTCTTGGAAGATTTTCAGGTCCAACAGGGAGGCTCCTGGTGGGGCTGGGTGCCCACTGATTTTTCCCCTTTGGAATTAAACTAGTCGTGTATCAAGACATAAACTATCTGATCCCATAGTCATTAACATTTTCCATGCAGAAGCACCATTTCATATTCAGCAAGTCTGCCTATAAATAGGGGAAAATCTTTGATAAAGCTATCAGATAAAGTTGTGATATCCATGGAGCAGTCTAAAATAAATGTGATTATTTGGGACTGTAGTATTTGCAAAGGTTTTGTGGGATTTTAATTATCTCTATTAACTATAATGAAAGTTACATTGTATGAATCTTACTTACTTATTTTATTGTCAAAGTAAAATTTCTCTGTCTTCAGACTTTTTGGATTTCATTTTAAGAATTTACAGCTGTACATTTATATTAGCTCTGTATTGTATTGTTCCAACCAATACTGCAATGGTAATAATGTGGCTGTATTTCAGTTGTCTTATAATTCTTAGCATATGTTCTCTTATCTTGATTTCCAACATCCAAGTGGCCATATTAAAAAAAATTATTGCTATTTTTGTGTTATAATTGAACTGTTACATTGCAATATTTTTCTTCTTTTGTTTTTGTTTTTGTTTTTTTTTTGCAGGGCCTGAAGGAGCACTTTTTGAACATTCTGTAGAAACACCACTTGTGAAAGCAGAAGCTTTTAAACAGCTTAGGTACGAATTTATACATAAATCTAATAAGTAAATGTTATTTTCCATAAATACTCATTTTTTTGAACATGTGATTTTCAACACACGATCGGTAATAACTTTTTTCTGGTTTATGTGACAAAATATTTTGAAGGAAAATCATATATATTGTTCTGCAATTTTGAAATATATTATTAATTACTTGTTGCTGACGGTGAATTTATTTAAAACCCCTGTGGAAAGATTTTCTGTAAATTTCTATTTTTCAGTTTTGAAACACTTTGAAATATGACTTTTTCTACTATGTTACAATAGAAGTTGCTTGTCTACAGTAGGTCATCAACATGTAATTAATCAAGGTTTTTGAAAACTAGTATCTGAGGAAGCAGACTAAGAAGAAAAGTTTGGAAATGTATGAAGCTCTAATGTATGAAGAGAATTAAAAATTGGTTGGGGCAAACTCAGAGAACACGGTAAAAAGAAAAGAAGTGAAATCAAGAAAAAAACATTCAAAATGGCCAAAAAGCAGTTTGGGCTGAGAAAATCATTATTAAATACTTTGTATATTTCAGAGCTCCTTAATTCTCGGATAGCATTTCTTTGTTCATTATTCTGTTTAATTTTGAGTATCCCAAATAAGTTTATAATATGCTGATTATGATGAGGTAATAAACTCAAATTATAGTCTCTTCATGAACATGTTATCTTTCATTTTATAAGCCAGTTCAAAGAAAGATTTGAAATGAAAGAGGATCTTTTTAACGATTGTATTTCTGTCCTTTCATACCTTGGCAGTTTTTTACTTTCTGTCATAATTTCTCTTCTTAGTTTTCCTGTCCAATAGGGATAACTACTAGAGAGCAGTGGAAGCTGGTGAAAGCACTGTCTGTATCTTGCTGATTGAATTTTCAAATTGAGAATGACAAATGAGAGAGAGACTGTTAAGACAATTATTTTGGTTTTCTCATTTATATTTAAGATTTGCTTTACGTTGTGCTTGCATTTGAAGACAATGTGAGCTCAAGACATTTTTAACATACTGATGTCCACTTTCAAAAATGTTTTTCTTCTGTTGTGGTAAAATTTGGATGTGAGAGACTTTGACCAATATTCTGTATTATAAGCGTACACTGTCTGGTTTTGTAGGGAGTGGATTCATTATGTTGTAAATTTGACATTTTCTGTGATTATCTCGACTTCAGCAAAGTAGGAAATCGAATTTCTTAATTGCAAAGTCAAGAAGCTGTCTGCAAATTTTAATTGGATACATGTCTATTATTTTCTGTGGTTGTTACGTTGCTTCAAATGCAATCAATTAATATTTTAATAGGCTTAATATAGTTTTATTCTACATTTTATGTATTGTTACACTTTAAAGTCTTATTTGCACTTTAGTTTAACAAGAGTTACAATGTTCCTGACTACACACAACTACTTTCAGTATAATTTTTCTGCCTCTATATGATAACAGTAGGAAGGAAAGCACTGAGCTTAATTCAAAGTGTTCCTAAAGTTGTCCTACATGGATGAGTTAACCCCACAGCCTGCCTTTTTGGTGACTTTTACCATGTCAGCTATAAACACAGGTTTTGGTCCAGAATGTTGCTGTTTGTTAGCAGAGCTCAAATGGAATACATAAAATCCCACTCAGTTCTGTCTTGGATGAACTTAAAATAATGGGAATTACAGATTTTCCCAGAATTAACAGAAATTTGCGAGTAATTACTGTGATGTCAGGGAACTAGTGACCGGGCCACTGACATACTTGTGACTGTATTTGACATGAATCCAGAGCTGCTAAACATCTGTGCTAGAAACTGAGTTAGCTTAACCCTAAGAAAACTGATTTTCTGGGCAAGAGGCTGTGCAATGTGTGCTCCAGTCACTTGTGCCAGCATAGAATAACTTGAGCTGGAAGAGACCTTAAAGATCATCAAGTTCCAACCCTCCCTGCCATGGGCACCTCCCACCAAACCAGGGTACTCAGAGTCCTGGCCTTGGACACCTCCACCATCCACAGCTTCTCTGGGCAGCCTGTTCCAGTGCCCTACTGTCCTCACAGTAAAGAATTGTTTCTCAATATCCAAACTAAATCTTTCCTCCTTGTTCTATCACTAGATGTCCTTGTTAAACATCCCTCTCCTCTCTCTTGTCCTGGTAGGTCTTTACCCATAGCAGTTTAGGTTACCTCAGTCCTTCAATTTATTTTCTTTTTCTGTCATAATCGGTGTCAAGTTTGAAAGCAGAGATGGCAATGATTTCATTTTTTCATGAGCGGCTTCTGGGGAGGTTTAAAGAAGGAAAAGCAGTGGTCTGTAGTGCAGATGGTAATTGAAGATCTAGGCAGAGGAGACCATTTTGTCAAGCTGGTAAAAGGTTACTTTCAAGGGTAATCTTAAATGTCAGCATAAACAAAATTCATTGTTCTGTTGCGAAAGCACTCAGACAAGTTTACCAAAAAATCAGTGTTTTGTAATGCTTCATAAATATTCCATTTCATTCCACACTGTTAAATACAGGTACCTACCCACTGAAAAGGACTTCAATATGAACATTTAAGATGCAATTTTAAGTATTATTTTCCTATTTTAGATTTGAACATGTTTCCTTTCCAGATTAGGGTAGTGAGTATGGAGTTATTTGTATATTTGCTTACCTTGAGCCTTATCTCCACACTTTCACCATCTATTAATCTTCTGCTATTTTTCCTTTATTTTTCCTTCAGTGCTTGTGCTGTGCCATGTGGATGTGATATGCTGGATGAATGTGTTATGAAGTGCCATGGTCTGCAGCATTAAATGTGGGGAATAGTGTTTTGAGAAACACCATCCACTACAAATGGAGTTGCAGGTTTCAAGGAGCTGGCTGGAGAGCTGTTAATGCTCGTAATTTTTCAGCTTGTGTCATATGAACAGGGGCCACATTCTTTCTCTGTCATTCAGATTTAGAGCAGGATTTCAAACAAAGCTGACACAAATGGCCTCGGAATTACATATTCTGCTGGCTTTTTTGTCCAAATGCCGAATTTCAAGATAGACTGCTTTTCTGGAAACAAAGAGATATGTGTTTTAGAATGTGTCTTTTCATAGCTAACTTATTGAGACAGAGCAATGCAATTACGCTGCGGTCAGTGACTGTCTTTTCATTTGTAATTTCAAGGAAAATTACTGAGTCCTTTTCTGTCTAAAAGACCAAATTTTTGACTCACTCATAAAGAAAAGTAGATGTGCTTGCACTTGCTTCTAACTGGTAGGAAGAATTAAAACAACAAAATCTACATTTCAAGATTGTGGCTTTCCTAAGTTTAAAATAACATTGCCTACTTTTTAGTACCTTTAGTGGACTTCTTATATCTAAATAAGATACATAGTTTTCATTTACAAATGTTTTAAGACTTTAGCACCAGATGGACACCTAAAAACGATGCTTTGCCTATAATAAGTGTCCAACAGACATCTCAATGGCATTTCACAGTCAGTAGAGAGGTTTGGATATATCCAGGAAATAGCCTTCCCAGACAAATACCACTGAGGAGGCACCTGGTTGAAAACAGCCAATTGTCATTAGTGAGAACAGAAATATGTCAGTGATTACCATGATCCAGTTCTTTATTCCTGCCAAAGTCTTCTGTAGTCTTTTCCATGGCTTTTCATGAGGCCTTGGACTTTGGTGTGTATTTCGCACCTTGAGAAATTGCCCCAGTCAGGTCTCCTGGGGCTTCCCAAGAATTTTATTTAGCTGACACCTGTAACTGGATCACAGCGAAGTTTTAATTGAAAACTGGTGTCTTGCTTCCCAGAAAAACCTGAATTTAAACAGAATTAAGGAAGGTCATGTTCAGACACGTACTTTGTGACTCAAAATGTAGGTCAAAAATCTGTAGCAGCAAGTACTGGAACTAGATGATGTAGACAGAGACATTTGTAACAGTTCCCTAAAAGTCATCTTTTCCCCAGGTTCCATGTTAAGTACTGGAATTAGCATCTTCAGATGTTTCTGTCATTTTGATACCGTTCACTTCTTGTCACCTACATGGCTTGTGGTTTTCTGAAGGAAAACAGTGGATCAGCAAAACTCTTTAAATCTCAAAACAATGTTTCTGAGCTGAGCATTTGCATTTCCCAAATTTGCAAAAATGTGCCTATGAATGTGGCATTTTTCCATTTATCAACTAACTGTATACTATGAATAATGAATATAATGCTTATGAATTAGTACTATCTTTGTTCTCATATTTGCCATGTATGGCTGTCTGACAGCCAGCAATTCTGCCTTCTGAGCACAAATCCTGTGGGAAATCACCTTTAGTACATTCAGCCCATGGTATTCTGACAGTTCTTTGACTGAGGGCTTACATCCAAGTTCAGAATGATCCACATCATTCCACTACTCTTGATTTTGCAAAGCACTATAGTAGGAATGATATCACTGTTCCAGAGAGTCAACTTTTGTCAGAGTATGATTATAAATTTATATAAAGATATATATATGTTACCAGACTAGGGGTATATTTAATGGTTTATGGGTATATACTGAAAATATTTCAATATTCCCCAGGGAAACTCGTGTATTCTAAACAAATGTATAGTACTGGCACTAAATAAAACTTTAAATGTGTCATTTAAGAAGCACTGTTTTATATTTAAGTGAAATATCTGTCCAACACTTAAAAGCATAGAAATATATATTTACTGATATATAACTGACATGTTACAGAATATTAATAATTTGAAGGCCAATTTTATGGCTTCGAGGTATCTGGTTAGGGTAAATTACTGTACTGATGATAGACTTTTCTTTGTCTATATATTCATAGTTGACATATACCCTTACATCTCTTCTGTGCCGTCCTGTAAATCTACTGATTGAATTATGGCTTGTACTTCTCTCAGATTTTTTCTGAAGTCTTATTTTTATCCTTTCCATTCCCCATTGATACTATTTTTTCCTTTTGCACATGAAGTATTTGCTATAGTTAATAAGACAGAGAGAAAGCTGGAAACTGAATTTGTGAAGTTTTATGG